TTAATTAAAAAAAAAGTGGGCAAAGGACATGAATAGACATTTCTCCGAAAAAGATATACAAATGGCCAAAAAGCACATGAAAAGATGCTTCACAGCACTAATCATTGGGGAAATGCAAATCAAAATAACGAGATGGCACTTCTCCTCTAGTAGGATGGCTGTTATCCAAAAAAAGGGAAGGAGAGGGGAGAAGAAGAAAAACAGAAAACAGCAAGTGTTGGTGTGGATGTGGACAAACTGGGAACCTGGGCATTATCAGCAGAAATGCAAAATTGTGCAGCTGCTGTGAAAAATAGTACAGTAGTTCCTCAAAAAAAAAAAAAAGAAACATAGAATTGCCATTTGATCCAGCAATTCCACTTCTGCTCAGGTCCCCACTTTCAATACACAAAAGTATTGAAAGCAGGGACTTTAGCAGATATTTGTATACCAATGTTCACAGCAGCATTGTTTACAGTTGCTAAAAGGGAGAAACAAGTCAAATGTCCATGGATGGATGGAGAGATAAACAAAATGTGGGCGATATCTCTATATCCATATTATTATATCTCTATCTCTATCTTTATATAGCTATTATATAATCAATATAACAATATATATATATGAATATTATTCAACCTTAAAAAGAAAAGAAATGCTTATACATGCTATAACATGGATGAACATATACAAAGAGAAATAAGCCAGACACAGGACAAATACTGTATGATTCCACCTACATGAGGTCCCTAGAGTAGTTAAAAACATAGACACAATGTAGCATAGTGGTTGCCAGGTCTGGAGGGACGGGGTAAGAGGAGTTATTGTCTCCTAGATACAGTTTCAGTGTGAGATGATACAAAAGTCATAGAAATGCATGGTGGTGATGGTTGTACAACAATATGAATGTACTTAATGTGACTGAACTGTACACGTAAAAATGATTAAAATGGTAAAGTTCATGATCTTATGTATATTTCATTACAATAAAACATTTTTATAAAATAAATAATAGTAGAAAACTCCCAGAATTTGGCAAAAGACATAAACTGCAAATTCAAGACATTGAATGAAGCCTGAACAGGAAAAATCCAAAGAATCCACACTGAGACTCATCATAGTCAAACTTCTGAAAACTAAAGACAAGGAAAATACCCTAAAAGTGACAAAAAAAAGAGAGTTTCCTTGCCTATAGGGAAAAACAGAATTAAATTACAGTGATTCTTTTCATTAGAAACCACGGACACCAGACAAAAATGACACATTTTTTAAGGACTGCAAGACAAAACTGTTAACCCAAAAACCTATAGTCAGCAAAAATATCCTTCAGTAATGAAGGGGGAGTCAAGACATCGCAGATAAAAGTAAACTAAGCAAACTTGTCACAGCAGACCTCTTTTAAAGGGATGGCTAAAAGAATTCTCTAAATAGAAAGGAAATGATTTAAAAGAAAAAAAAAAGGAATCTTGGAACATAAGGAAGGAAGAAAGAACATGGTAAACAAAAATATGGGCAAGTAAAATACACTTTTGTTCTCTCGAGGTTCCTAGATTATGTTTGACAGTTGAAGCAAAAATTATAATACTCTCTGACATGGCTCTAAACGTATAGAGTGGAAATATTCAGGACAATTATACTCCAAATAGGGGAGGGTAAAAGACATAAAAGGAAGTAAGGTTTCTTGAACTGGTAAAATGACAACACCAGTAGAATGTGATAAGTGATGTATATATAATGTAACACATAGAGCAGCCGCTCCAAAACCTTTACAAAGGGCTGCAGGATGGAATTCTGAAAAAAAATGAAAGTAACCCACAGCAAATGCAAGAAAAAGAAAATAAAAACAACCACCAAAAAACAATATAAATGGAGAACAAAAACACAATGGCAAACTTAAACCCTAATATGTTCATAACTACATTAATTATGTAAGTGGTCTATGTACAAAAGTAAATTGTCTAATCAATTAAATGAAAGAGATTAATAGAGTAGATTTTCTAAATGACCCAACTCTATGCCGACTGTAAGAAGGCCACTGAAAATATAATGGTGTAGGCAGGTTGAAAGTAAAAGGATGAAAAAAGGTGTACCATGAAAACACAATCGAAAGCTGGAGTGGCTATATTAAATATCAGATAAAGTAGACCTAAGAGCAAAGAACATTTTACTAAAGACAGAGAGGGACATTATATAGTAAAAAAAAAAAAAAAAGGCAATCTACCAGGAAGACATAGCAATCTTAAATATCTATGCATCGAACAACCCAGTTGCAAAATATGGGAAACAAAAACTGATAGAGCCGAAAGGAGAGCTAGACACTGACAGAACAACTAGACAGAAAATCAGCAAGGATATGAAAGAACGCTAACAACCCCATCAACCAACAGGATCTAATTGACATTTATAAAACACTCCCCGCAACAACGGCAGAATACATATTCAAGTTCCCATAGAACGTACACCAGAAGAGACCACATTTGGGCCGTAAAGCAAGACTCAATAAATGCAAAAGGATTCAGGTTAAGTTTCTGACCACAGTGGAATTCAGTTAGAAATCAATAACAATATTTGGAGACAAAACCAAGTGGACACCTCCCCGCTCTGTGTCTGGGACTTGGTTTGGCCCCTAGAATTTATTGAGTCTAATGTCATTGTTCAGTTGAGGAAGCTGAGGCTCAGGGAGGGGACATGATTTTTTTCAGGGCCTCTTAGGTGCTTGGTAAATATTCATTGGATTGATTAAACATAGCAACACAACAGCAACTCTTTCACTCGAGCAGCTCCTACCACTGGAAGAAGACTCACTGCATCTGTAACCCCCTCAGATGTCCCCTGGGCTGCCCTGGGCCCTCCCACCTCGGGACACCCCAGCACCTTACATTCCCCTTTGTCACACTGTCCTGGCCGTGCCAGAGCGCTTCCCCGAGTAAGGCCGAGTCTTAACGCCTTATAGCTAGCTGCTTCGGCAATATTTAGTGAATAAGTGGAGAGAAGTTTTCTTTAAGGACATTTTGCCTTTCAGGAGGACAGGTCTTTTCAGCCCACCCCACTCTGAGAATTATTTATTCAAGGTGTTGAGTAGAGCAGGGTCAGCAAGGGTGCTGCTTCAGAGGGGCCATCAAAGGCTGTGGGATGGTCAGGCGCCCACTGGCATGGGCTCAGGGTGGTTCTGGGGCTGCTGAACGTGTTGGCTTTTTACATTTCCTGTTTTGGGCGCCCCCGCCCCCACCCCCTCCCACCCTCCACTTTCATCCCGAGATGGGCAGCATAAGGAAACGTGCTTGCATTTTCCCCTCCTGTGATCTGATTCCAGCGGGTCTTATCATGCACACATTTCTTTTTCCTTTGACTTTATATCCATATTTAAATCATGCTTGAGGAAGTCATTTATTGGATTGCCTCAGGCTCATGGTAGAGAGTATATATGAGATCCTTGATAAGCTTAATATATTTGTATTAAAAATTAATAAGAACACTAGATTGTTTGCAACTTTAAATCACAATTCGATTTAATTCATTTTATTTCATATACAACCACAATTCTAAAATTACTTTAAAAAGAAAAAAAAGAAAAAAGACGTGATGAGATTTGAAATCAGTTCTGGGACCCGGTCTTTATTCCTGAGTGAACCATGCCTGTCATGTGGCAGCCAATCGGCATTGCCATTTCTCGTGTGACATTTAGAGTCAGTACACGGGTGCAGGGAGCCCCTCGGAGGCTTCAAATGAGCCCTCTGTGGAAGATTATGCGCAGGCTCTTTTTAAATGCTACCATTAAAAAAATAAAATTTAATGGAAAGAGATAAGCTTTTCCCAGCACACGCCGGCTCTGATTTTATATTTCCTTAATCTGTTTTATATACTGCTGCAGGAAATTAAACCAAAATTGTCCTCTCTGACGGTGCATAGGCGGCAGTTGGGAGGGGCTGAGGGAAGGGAGACAGAGCTAGGAAACAGTTGCTCTGGTTTGTCAGAAATTTATTGTAAATCTCTTTATTGGGGTGGGGGGGAGTCTTCCTCATCTTCCCACGGGGTGAAGAGTTGTGGCCGCCATGCAGAGGCAGCTTGGGCCCAGGACCACACAGGGCTCTCTTCTCACATCACTGAGAACTGTGGCCCCCATGATGCCCAAGCCGTGTCCAGGACAAGGACCAAACGTCCTCCATCTCTAGGTCTGAGTTTCAACTCACTGTCTACTCACCGTGACCTATTACTCACACTCACCCACGAGACAATCACCGATATATTTTGCACATTACTGAATCCTACTTCTTTTTCCCTTCTTTCTCCACTTTTCTCTTCGACCCTGGCCATCACTCAGAGAAAATGACAATGTTTACTTGTCAGGCATAGCTGCATTTAATCTTACCTTCCATGCATGCAGCATGGAAGCCCATGAACCAGGCAGAGGCTGCAGGCCTGTTGAACCTGACCTTGGAAGTCTATAGCATTACGTCCATTGTACACTATGATTGAAGTGGTCACAAGCCCATCCACATTTCAGAAACACTTTGCAGGTGGAATTGACAAGATTTAGTGTTAGACTGAACGTGGAGAATGAAGGCAGGGATTGTCAAAATATCAATGCTATGCCATCATATGCCATCCACAGGATATAAAAAATTATATGTACCTCATAATCGCAGTGCATGTAGATGCGAATTGAATGCAGCACGCAAACTTGAACATTTATTTTAAGGTGGTATTTCATCCTTAATGTTACTTAGTTATTTTAGTAATGCTTCTTAAACCTCTGTGACCACCCACCAAACCTATGCATAACAATCCCTGAAGATGGTGGTTGGACAGCAGGCCCTAGCACGACTCAAGTCTTGAGCCTGCTTTCCAAGCCCCGCATTATAAAAATCACCCTTGTTGCTTTCCATTCTGGCTTAGAGAACCACAGGGCTACCACACTGTGGACCTTTGGGGTTCCCAGGCCCTCCTCCCACGGGGGAAAAGGCAAGGACTGTGCAGGGCCTACGTTGGGCTCTAATCTCTCTGCTTTCTTTTCCCTTTAGGCTTTTGATATTATGAGAGTGACACACGGCAGAGAGCACAGCCTCATTGAGGATTTGATCCTACTCTTGGAAGAATGCGACGCCAACATAAGAGCATCCTAAGTGAGGCCAGTCAGGTGGAGAGACGGCTTATGCCTCGACTGAATGCCTTGCTGAGCTCACACCCTCTATACTTGGTTTGCTGTATGACCCTCCCCTGTTTCTGTGTTTATGTAGGTAGCTAGGCAGATGTGTGGTTTGCCAACCACAAGAATCATTAGTTACAGAGCAGCACGATGATAACAAATATTAAAAAATTTGGGTTGAAATTGCCATCTGGTAATTGTTTACTTTGCTGACTCATTGGTAATTTTAATGTTTAAGATCTCCACACTAAAGGTAGAAAACCCTATTAAAAATATCACAGAATAAGTATTAACATGCTCATTGGATTTTTGTAGGGATAAGTGGATAAAAATCAATGTTTTCACATTTGCTTCCAAGCAAAAACTTAATGTCCATTTTGGCCAGAAGCAGAATTTTCAGATGCTGTCTTTATTGTTTGTGTCAAATGATGTCTGTGTCCATTATTCACTTCTAAATACATCTCCAACATGAGAAGTTTTACTCTGAACCCTAGGATGAAGTCGTTTTAGGTGAAGTTGTATTAGAAAAGGCGAGGAAGTCTTAACGGAAAAAAAGAAAAAAAAAAACAACCAAAAATGTTTTTTCAGATGTCTCATGGCTCTTTGTGTAACTCTTCATTCTGAGCATTTTCTAAGCCTCTGTGTATGTTGTGCTTTTCTTCCTCGAATTTTTTTCCTACTCCCTACGTCTGTGGTTCGACCATGCGATATGCATAGCACGAAGCTCCGTCACCCTGCAGGACAGGGTTCTAGCATTCCAGCTCAACTCAGGCTTGCTTGCTTTCCCTTTTTCCTCTCTATTGTTCCTAATTCTATGGCCTGCTTTTCCACCTTTCTGCTGTCGACAAACACTGAAAACCCTTTTCTTTTCCTCTGCCAAAAAAAAAAAAAAAAGGTAAATTGTTTTCTGGCTCAGCGACCCCGTGAGCAGTTTTGTCCCTCCTACTCAGATGACACGGGTCATCACTGAAGCCCTTTCATTCCCTGCAGCTGACAGGCTCTTAGAGAGCCTCCTGTTATCCGCACCTTATTTTATAAGCCAGGGAACGATGCAGGGGGCGCTGGCAGAATTCACAGCAGCAACAGGGCGTGGCCGTTCCCCCGGCCACGTGGCTGCACTGCAGCAGCCGGCATTGTCAAAGTGACGCGTGGGTGTCTGGTCGAGCCCGAAGGAACCAAGCTCACTGTGCAACCGAGAAAGCTGATGACTGGAAACGGGGGTCCACTTGCTGAGCACCTGGCGACCGCTCTGATCACTGAAACAGACATGGCACCCTGCGGGCTGGTGAGTTTTTCATGAAAAACCACGAGCTTGCTTCTGCGCCAGCCACCATCTCTCCAGGATCAAGCACATCTCTAAGGGTCTCAGTATCTCAGCTAACCACAGGAGCGCATGGTAGGTGTTCTAAAGCCCATTATAAGTAAGGAAGCTGAGGCTGGAGCCAGGGGCTCTGGGATCGCTCCTTATTTGCTAAGGGACCTTAAGAAGGGGCTTAATGTCGACCTTTTTGAGAGTCCAGTTCTACCCAGTTCAACAAATTTATGTTGAGCGGTTACTGTGTTTTTAGGAAAAAGGGAATCAAAGACTGATTAAGATATGTCCCTTATCCTCAAAATATACATTATCTAGTATAGTATTTATATTCATGAGGTTTTACTGCATTACAAAAAAGACCCCAAACTAACAGGAATGAATTCCATTCGTGACTTGGTACGTCAGCAATTTGGGCCGGAGAGCGCCTCTGGTATGGCTCCGGCTCCACATTATCTATCCCTGCCCTCACAAATCCCATCGCGAGGGCATTTGGAAATGTGGAGAGGAAGACATTGTGGCCATCTATGCAATTACCATAGCAACCCTTCAGCTATTGTGTTGTTAGGGAACATTGAGTGAATTTGACGAAACCCATGAACCTTGGCTTGGCTCATCTCGGCTGGGCACACTCGTGGTCTGCTGGTGGGTTAGCTGGGGCAAGGAGGGCGGCCGGGCCACGGAGCTCATTGGGTAGTCCAGCCTTGTTCCCATGGCAGCAGGGCTCCGGGAACAGAAAGTAGACAAGCCCCTATGTGCAAGCCTTTCTCAAATCTCTTTGCATCACATTTGCCAATATCCCATGGGCCAATGCCAATCTCAAGGCCAGCCCAGAATCAAGGGTGGGTAAAGACTCCTCTCAGTCGGAGGAGCTATACAATCCTGTTGCGAGGGTAGGCATATGTGGAGAGGAAGATACTGTGGCCATATCTGCAATTCACCATAGCAGCCCGTAAGCGATTTTGGTGTTAGGGAACATTGAGTGAATTTGGTGAAAGCCGTAGACCTTCTTTTTAGAAGAACATATACATAACTCGTACAAACAATTTGCTTTTAGAATCAGGGATTCTTGAACTTCTATGTCCCACCAGTGGACTCCCTGGGGTCCTTCATCTAATGAAAACTAGACTTGCTACCTTTCAAAAACACTGGTGGGAATTGTATTGGCTCCTCATTTTAAATTCATTAGGAAAAGATAAGTCATAACAGAAGGTGGTGGAAGTCTTACACGCCAAACAAGCAGAGTTCACTGGTAGAACCCTGCGTTTGCCAATTTTCTGAATGAAATTTATCAGCCCGTGATGATCCTGGATTAAGAAATTTGCTGTCATGCCTCCTAGAGAAAGCGTGATGGGCTTTTAAATCCCTCTCAGCCGGCTTCCCGTTTTCTGAGGCAAGGGCCCTTAGGAGGAAAAGGGCCCTGCACGCATCAACTTTTAATAGAAAGCAAACATTTAAGCAATGGTAAATATTTACTGACAAACTTTACAGCAGAATAATTTTGGAGACGAGGGAAGGGGATGGAGAACATAATTTAAAATTCATGTCACCAGTGGCTGACGATTTATTGCTGCCCCAGCCTCCATTTCTGCTGTTTCATTAATCCACAGTCATTGCAGCGGCAGGCTTTTCTCACATCAGTAACTTGACGCCATTAGTTGCTCCTCTGGGATGAGAACACATTTAAACTGAAAATGAACACGCTGGGCATAATTTATAGCCATGCCATGAATGCTAAGAGTGCAGGGGAGAAAGGCTGCCCAGCAAGCCTGCTGACTACAGGAGCTGAGGACAGACTTCCTCCAGCCCGGCCAAGTGCTGGGCTGGCCGAGAGGGTGGCCATAACCCCGCTGAAGCCAGCCAGACGGCCACAAACCACAGAGGCCCCTCATTCCAGCTCCACTGCGGGGATGAAAGGGAAATGCCATACAGGGGAGCCCTCCACTGAGCTATGTCCTAAAAATCCTTTTCTGGCCCAATCAGGAAATGATGTGATACTCACTGGATGTGAGTATAAATGATGTGATACTCAGAGGAGCCTACTGGGGTTTCACAGGGAGGAGATTCTAGGCATTGTGTGTGGAGCCTCAAAACACCTTATGACGAGAAATCATTGGAGGAAGCTTCCGGAACACGCTGGAGCCCTCCTTTGCCTGAGGTCTGTAGGAGATCAAATGGGTGGAGAAGGACCAGCAACACCACCCCAACCTGGGACGCTCCCTAAACCTTTGTCAGGTTGGTGAGCGCTGAGATGCTGTCGGTGCACAGCCAACATATTCAAAACCAGTAGGCGACATCAAAGTCCAGTTCTCTGCCCATCACCTTTAGCTCAGCACCGGCATCAGCCTTCCACTTTTCAGCACAGAAACTCACTGACGCGCCCTTTTCCTTTTATCAAAGGAATGATCTCTGTCTGTTCCTCCTCTGAAGTGCTTTTTAAAAATTTCCGCCATTTGCCTTCCTTATCCATTCCTCAGCCACTGCAAAGACCCCGTCACTGCCCTTGCCTGCTCTCCCTCCCGTCCCCCTCCTCCATCGCCAGTCATCTCCCCCAAATACCTATGTCCCCATTTCCTCTTATAACTCCTCACTCAAACATTTACAGCGCCCCCCTCCCCCCACCCCATTGCTGCCAGACTCAAAGTTCAATGCTCAGACCAACACCGCTGGTCTCAAACCACTGAATCTTGTATTCAACCAGCCCCCGCCCGGAGCCTGCCACGCCAGCTGGACCGGCCCCCATCTCCTGATTTATGGCCTCTTCTTTATCAGTTCCTTGTTTGGTTCACACTGACTAAATTCCCTTTCTGTTCCACCTAGCTCAATCTTATCCATTCTCAAAGGTCTAGCTCAAGCCTCTTTCTTCCTTTTCCTTTCTTTAAAAAAAAAAAAATCCCTGAAATATGTGATAGTCTAGAACCATAATTATTCTTTTTGATGTTCAAGTTGTATCAGCTTTGGCTGCTGGGGTCTTTTTCAAGTCGGATCCTCCATCTGATGTGTTCCTACCATTTGGGAAATTTTTGTTTTGTTTGGTTTTATTTTATTGTTTGTTTGTGTTTCACTTTGGAGCACCTGGAACTAGTCATTCTCTGTGGAGCCCTGGTGTCTCTTAGTCAGGAATGGTATTTAGAAACCCCAATCTGGTCACAATGTTTGCTTCTTGCGATGAGGGTGTCATTGTTTTCTAGGCCTTTTTAAAATCACGAGTTCATACTGATACCACCAATTAAAATGCAGCACACCCATTGTTCTCATCTCCCTCCATATTTGTACTTCCCTCATACACACAAAATAGTTTTCAAATTGCTAAATTACTACTACAACCACTTCTGACAACAAACCTAAGTAAAAGTTAAGATTCTTTTCTGGAGGTTTTTGTTCTTGGGCAAAAAAGAAAAGAAAAGGAAAAAGGAAAAAGAAAAAAGAAAAATGTTGTATTGTCAGAATACTATGTTTAAAAGTTACTTGAATTATTCTTTTCTGTGTGATTATGTAATCAATTGAACATCCAATTAGGTTGATTTCTATTTTTATTCAACTTTAGTTTTATTTGCCTGATTATTGATTTATGCTAGTATACAAATATCAATATAAATTTTGCTATTATAAATAATGTCATAATGAAGAATCTTGTGTATACTTTTTTGTGTGTTGATGGAGATATATCTCCAAGATAATTTTTTGGAAGTGGTATTGGTTCATCAATGCAATTACATATGCATTACATAAATGCATATGTAATTTTATTTGGTATTGTCAGCGTTACCTTGAGAAGGGTTGTTTATGCCTATTTCCCTGCAGCCTTGCCAACAGAGTGGGTTTTCAGCTTCTGAATTTTTTGCTACGTTAATAGATGAGAAATAGTATCTCAA